GTGGCCCTCCACTGGTGGATGACTGTCTGTATATTTTTCGTGTTCATGAGTCTCATAGAGTTCGCGGTCGCCATATCCTGGGCCTGGATGGCCAACGATAGGAAGGCTTTGCGCACCACTCAGGTCTCTATTTCTTAATTCTTGCGATCATTTAATTTTATTATTAAACATAAGATAACTTAAATCGCAAGTAAAGGACTGTAGATATGGGTGTATAATATATATATTAATAATATACACTATATATATATATATATACACTAATTATACTTTAATGTACTTTCAAATCAAATCTATAACAATTGCACACATTGTCATATTGTCATCATCATAATTATTAATATCAGATAATTCTCATATTAATAAAAATTTTGTTTGAATTATATTTTTATATGGTTTAGGGTTTCACAGAAGTGCCGAAAACCAATGTCTACACAAATAAAAGGATTTTCTGTCACTGCGGAAGACTTGTCGGCAATATCTTGTATTATGTGTTTGGAAATATCGATTATACTAAGGATCCTTTGAGTAGAAATAAAGTAGATTATGCCTCGAGAATTATATTCCCGGTCACTTATATGTTATTTGTAATTATTTATATTCTGTCAACAATCTGTCCCTGGGCCGTGGCCTATAATTGGTGATCGTTTTATTTTGTCCATAGCTAATATTCAGTATTAAAATCAATATTTAATTTATTAGTATTAATAAACTAAATAATTTATTAAATAATTAAATAAAAAATTATAATAAAAGTTAATAAACTTATGAATTTTGAAGTGTTTTGCTTTATAAATAAAATTTATAATAAAAGAGTATTTGAATTAAATAGTGTTAAAAACCAATAAAAGATTACTAGTAAACAATGTAAGTTATTTAAATATAAGTCAATTTTAGATACAGTACTATATTTTTGAAAACTACAGTATAACAATTTGTTTAGAAAAACTCTAGTTTGATTGACAATTTATGAATTATAATAAAATATTTAGTTAAAATAGATTATAATTTTATTTAAAAGTCAAAGAACATTTTATTTGTTTTTAAGTAACTTTAAGAAATTATTCTATATTTAATAAAAAATTAACAGTCTAACCTTAATTAGATTAGATTTTGCACTAATATAAATTTTTTTCTCTAAAACATAGAGTCATATAAACTTAAGAATAGTTGTAAATGTATAAAAAACTTTGTATTTTGAAATAAATTTTATTAATAGTGTTATAAACTTATCAAACAATTAAAAAAAAGATTTGATTTGAAACAGAAGAAAACATAGAAATGATTTAATAAATATTTCGTTTAATTAAATAACCATTAAAAACTTGAATAAAAGTTTGATTAAATCAAAGGCTAATTAAAATATTTAGACTTTCACTCGAATACTTTAAGAGCTAGAACTTTGATATAGTCAGACCATTTCGCTCAGTTTCATCCCTCCATTCACTTGTGCTCTCAAGTAATGAATACATTTCTTATATTCATTTTAAATGCATTACTCATTCATCAATCATTCTCTTCAGTTATACAAAGGGATGATAAAAATGTAAGTTTAAATCAATACAATCCATAATTTAATAATATTACCTAATATTATTTTAATAATTTTAACCTATTAAAGAATTAGTTATTATAGAAAAATATTCTATAGTGTATGATGTAAAAGTTTATTGATGATATTAAAAGCTCCAATCTAATATAAGTTATTTGATTGATCCCAGACTCGAGTTGGAGAGAAAATAAAGGTAACAATATATTATGAAACCCTGAATGCAGTCAATCGAAAGTTCTTCGTGGAAGAAGTTCGACCCGCAATCGACTACTTATGGGAGATAATTGACTTGGATTTTGTTCCCTATGGGAACACTGGAAAAGATCCTGAAAATGAAAATAATTATATTTGTCCATTTGGTGATAAACAGTGTTTGGCCAATAAAGTTCAGGTATTAAGAGATCAACTTTTAAAAGACTTAAAACTATCGTTTTATTTATATAACTAATTCATATGAAACACTGTTAAATGTAAGGCCTGTGCCATTGGTATCATCAATGAGGGACAGCCGCCAACTGAAGAGGTGAAGAAAGGTGTGGCCCTTTTCGTTCACTGTATGTTCAAGAATAAAAAAATGGAAGACATCAGTCTTGTGGGCCCCCATTGCGCTACTTTGGATCTGTTTGATGAGTGGCCCTCAATCGCCGAGTGTGTGGCCGGTGTGGACGGCAACAAATTCACTGATCAAATGGAGGCAAAGACTACACCAATAAAAGATAGTCTAAAGAATGGTCTGGCTGTTCAACTCGATTCACNAAATGGAGGCAAAGACTACACCAATAAAAGATAGTCTAAAGAATGGTCTGGCTGTTCAACTCGATTCACAGCCCATTACAGAGGAGGCCACACAAGACTTAGTTAAAGCCATTTGCGATGCATTTGTAAGCATTGTTATTGTGATTGTAATGATTGAATAAGTAATGATTTAATTGCATTCACAGACAGGCACTGAGAAACCCGAAAGATGTAATGTTGCCAAAGGGGCTAAAGTGCAGTTATCTGTGTTTTACGAGACATTAAACACCGACACCCGCAACTATTTTGACCACCAGTTGCAACCATTCTATCACATCCTCGAAGATATCGTAGATATTGATCTGATTCCTTATGGGAACACCCAATACACTGATGACAAGTTTACGTGCGATTCTGATGATCTGTGTATTGCTAACAGAATTCAGGTAAGAAACTGAACATTGAATATAAATCCTTTTTAAAGCTAATCAATGAAGATATGATTTCTAGGCGGTGGTTGTCAACGATTACTTGGCCACTAAAGATGGTGATGAAGTGGACGGTCCGAGTCGTGTCATTAGATTCATTGACTGCATGAGTACTCATAAGAAGTGGCAAAACATATACACAGCAGGAGAACAGTGTTCTAACAATTACTTACCACCAGATGTCTGGATACATATCTTAACGACCGCTACCAGTGCTGACGGCGATCCCATATACTTGACGATGAGAGAGAAGACAGACAAAGTGAACCCAACCCCAGGGTCTCCTT